GGCCGAAGGTGTTTCCTGTGCCCGGCTTCTCACAGCCAGCAATTCAGCTCTTCTAGCGGAACCTCAGGAGCTCAACTCTGACACCAGGAGCCCGTTCTCTCTAAGAAACTGGTGAGTGAGAAAATATTCTTTAATTAATAGACAATTATAGAATTAATAGAGAAGTAATAGAACTAATGGTAAGATAATTACTATTTTATGATTAATAGATCACTGGGTCAGAGGGTGGAAGAAACTGAATACTGGGTGTGGGGTGTGAAGGATTTACTAGCTGAGAAGAGGGTGCTGCATGGGAAGCTATAAAACACTCAGACAGTGTAAGCACTGGGATACTTTCAGAGATCAGCTACAAATAAATTTTCCCCCTTACACTGCTGAAGGGTCCTGTGAAAGACAGCAGGCTGAGGGGATGGGGTCTGTCATGAGAACTTCTGACATCACACACCCCCAACCTCACGTCTGAGCTCGCACGCAGAGCACAGGGCTGCCATCGGACCAGGTGTGCCCTGTTCTGAGCCTGTGTGCACCCTCCCCAGCAAATGCGGGCTGTGGGCTTTGCCTCTTCCCAAAGAGCTCTGCGCTTGGAGCGGGCCCCACCTTGGATCTCAGCCCTGATCTTCATTTGCTAGGGATTAGGTCGCAGTTATCTCACAATCTGTCAACCTGAAGGATTGACATTCCAGCCTGCATTTGAATGTGAGAACCAGTAGAATGCCTTGCACAGCCACTAGGAGGAGATATAGATTTATGTGTTGATATTCACCTGAGGTCCTTGTAGACGCTGCTCACACTCCCTGCTCTGTCTCTCCTGCTCACACTCTGAGCGTGCTCTGAATGGCTCTAGGAGGAGCAGACAGGCATCGGGGAAAGTGCTCTGCCCCTGCTACCACAGCGTAATGCTTGAGAAGAAAGTGACACTGAACAGAAATGCACTCAGGGGGTGTATGGGACTGGACGGCGGGCGCGGGCTCTGTGGCTGCTGGGGCTCAGGACCCGGGATCGGGTGTCCGCACCGGTGCTCTCCATCGTCTGTCACTCAGTCCCCACTTCCTTATCTGCTCAGGTCCCAGCTCCAGTCTCAGCACCCGTGTCCACGCCCCTGCTGTGCCCCGCCTGACAGCCCCTGCGATGCACAGGATGGTGCGCTGAGGCTGAGGTGGCACGAGTCGGGTCCTCTCTGCGTCCCTGGCTGGGTCCGGCTCTCCAACTCTCCGGCTCTCTGACATTGTTGAGAAGCCTAAGTCCAGCGTCTGCTCTGGGATTTAAGGCAAACTTCACTGTAAGGCCCTATCAATATCAAAAGGGGACACAAACACATCCAAGGGACACAGGCACAAGCAAACACCCCCATCCCAAAGGGGAGAGCTAGGGGAACAGAAAGATATGGAACAAAAGCAGGACTGAAGCCAGCAGAGCAAACATTAAACCCCGTAGCCCCATGTCCCGCCCCCTGGGCCAGCTGTGGTGAGATGTGGACTCCGCAACCCTCGGTGGCCCTGCCCCTTGCCACTGCCAGGGGTGGAGCCCTCCCAGCTGCTCTCTTGTCCTGGCTTTGCTCGCTCCTTGCAGCTTCCCTTAGACATCGCGTGCTCCCGGCTTCCCCAGCTGCCTGTGTCTCCCCTGAACTTTCACCTTCACTCTCACAGCTCCCTGCACTGCCCTCCCCACAGCACGAGGCCTCATGGGCCTTTTTCTGAAATCAGCCTGCAAGCCATTGTGACCCCATAAGGCTTACTAATTTCTTTTTTGCTTTTTACATTTAGATCATTTAATTGTATATCAATTCCATTTAAGTCCATACGTTGCCCTAGTGAGAGCCTATGCTTGCTGACAGAAAGATACAAAATACAGTAGCAGAACTATGCTGGAGGTCAGCTATCAGGGACTCATAGAGGGCCAGGCATACAGCTCATGGCACAGCGCCTGCCTGGCCAGTGCAACAGCTGGAGTTCCATTCCTAGTACAAAAACAAATGAAGAGGTTTATAGAGTAATGTATTTTTATATGTTTTTTGCAGATCCCTAATCAATATTCTAGCATCTGAAGTATAAATCCTCCACTGATGGACTGACGCCTAGAATTTTAAATAACACTTGTGTTATGCACAGAATGTTATGAGGCTCAAGATGGAAAAACTATTAAAACGCTTTGACGTGTAAATAATCATAAACTCTTGTACGCTTTTTCAGGTATATGACAATGATCCTGAGCTTGAGCCAACGTCTGTGATCACGTTCATTAATCAAAAAGGCACGTTGTTTCCTATGACCCGTAAGTCCCATTCTAGTGCACAAATATAGACGATGCACACATGTAGTCCAAGCTACTCTGGAGGGTGAGGCAGCATCACATGAGCCCAGAAATTCAAGGTCAGCCTGGGCAACAAAGTGAGGTTTATCTCAGCAGCAAACAACAACTGGATGGTGCGCAAGTTATTACACACAAAGGCCCCAGGCTTCAAACACTGTCCTGAATTGATGAAGGGAGTTGGGGAGGGGTCCGAACACATAAGCACGCAGTCCGAATGGTTACATTTTAGCGGGAACAGACGTGCTGCTCGCTCAAAATATTGTCTCTAGGTACCTAAAAATAACACATTTTGCATTCACTTGGGAAACTTTCTGGGTTTTGTATAATTGTGTTTTGTGTATGAAGGGTTTTTTGGGGGGTATGTTTATGAAGATTTTTTAATGTATTCTTTTTTTTTATTTTTTATTTTTTTGGTTTTTCTCCGGTACCAGGAACCGAACTCACGACCTTGCGCTTGCCAGGCAGGCGCTTTTGCCGCTGAGCTAAATCCCCAGCCCCTTTTAATGTATTCTTAATGTTTGTCGTATCAAAAGCAGCCCTGAGCATTTTTCTGGCCTACCACAGAGGCGTAAGAGACCGCTAAATTTAGCCATGCAGAACAGAAACAGCATGAGTGTAGCTAGGCCACCAGGCGTCTTACTGGTACAGACAAGGCAGCTGAAAATTTGGACATCACACGAAAATGATTAGCTGCGTGCCACAAACTCAGGGAGACCGAATCTTTCAAAGCCTTCAATACACAGGCAAATTTCTTCCTCTGCCTTCTCATCTGGTATAGTTTGATTACAGGGAAGACTTGACGAATTCTTACTGAAAATATCTGCCACATGTGCTAGACTAAGGTACCCTCTTTTGGGTAATTCCTTGATATTGAACGAGCATTGGGTTAGGACTGAATTTCCTCTCACACACGCATTTATTAAACTCATAGGCTTTCTGCATGACGGGAACCTGATACTGAAGCAAGGTAGTTCCTCTGACTGATTGCTCTTTTTCATATTGGAATTTTATTCTAGTACATATTCCCCAATTATGAATAAAGAATGGACATACTGTGAATTTACCACCTTCAATATAATCATAGTTTTTCTCACGGGTATGGATTGCAGGAGCCAATTAAGAGTTTAACACTAAAACCTTTCCAACATCTGTCACATTCAAAGGGCCTCTCTCATGACTTCTGACTTTGAATACAGTCTGAGCTATGACTGAAACTTTACTACATTCAGTGTGGACATGACTTCAGCCTGGTGTGAACACTCAGATGCTGAAGGAGGAATGAACTTGGCTAAACGTCTTCTCATGTTCACTGCATTCATAAGGTTTCTCTTTGGTGTGAATTGTTTGATGCTGAACACGACATGCTCTCCAAACAAAGATCTTTTCCCATGCATCACAGTCAAAGACTTTCTCCAGTGAGAGCTTCTTGTTGCAGGATAAGATCTGAGCTAGGACTGAAACTTTAATCATTACATTCATTGATTTCTCTTTCCTAGGCATTTTATGATGCTAAGGCCTGAGGTGTGACCGAAAGCCTTTCTAAACTCATCAATTTATGTAGCTTCTCTCCTGTATGAATTTGTTGATGCTGAATAAGATGTGAATTCAACCTGAAGTATCTTACACATTCATTACATGTACGGGGTTTTTCTCTGAAACGAATTCCTTGATGTTTAACATAGGCCAAAACACATTCATCATATTCGTAGGATTTCTTTTGATGGTGGACCCTCTGATGTTCAACTAGATATGAAGTATGACAGAAGTCACTGCCACATGCAGTACGTTTACAGGGCAACTCTGTGAATTCTCTGGTGTTGAATAAGGTGTACACTACGACTGAAGACTCTCACAGTTGTTAGGCTTGTAAGATTTGGCTTTGGTGTGAATCATCTTATGCTGAATTACATCCGAACTCTGACTACATGATTTATCAGACTTTTCACAGGATGTTTGAGATGGTTCACATGTATAAGTTTTTTTTCCTCATGTGTATTCTTTTATGTCGGCTAAGACTTGAACTCTGACTGAAAGATTTTTCACATTCTTTCCATTTGTAGGGTTTCCCTCTGGTATGGACTCTCTGATGTCCAGTAAGGGATGACCCCTAGTGAAAGATTTCTCCACATGTATCACATTTATAGGATTTCTCAGCAGTAGAAATGCTCTCCCATTTATTAAGGTGGGAGAGGTCCGTTAGCGTTTCTTTGTATTCACTATGGTGAAAATTCTGTTGTAGATTTATGCGTTCATGTTTATCAGCAGCTGAGTTCTGGAAGTTCATATACTTATTGTCATCAGTATTCTGTATTCTAAGACCTCTGATCTGTACCAAGGGTAGAATCCAGACTGAAGGTTTTTTTTCAGGTTTCGCTTCCTTGAAGTCTTTTCATAGCTTGGTGTCTCTTACTTAGTCCACTAAATGGTATTCTACTGTCTAGAGCAGCAAGAGCTTATTTAACAGGTCACCTACAGAGGGATGTCCTGGGACTGAATTAAGCTTCTAGAAACATTGATCTGCCAGTTTTTGTGTGAAAAAAATTTGAAGTACTTTGTGTGGATATTAAGAAGCCCAAATGTTATGTATGTCTCTCTCTGTAAAAAACTGCCAAACTGTCCTCCAAAGAAGGAATGCCATTTTGAATTCCCATCTGGGATGGAGAACCATCCCACTGTCCCACATCCTCGCCAGCATTTGTTGTTGTCACTGTCCAGATTGTGGCCCTTCCAGCTGGTGTATAGTGGTTTCTCATCATTATTTTCATTGGTATTTCCCTCAGTGCATATCTGGTGGAGTGTATTTTCATTTGTACATCTTCTCCAGTCAGGTGTGTACCAAAGTCCTTGTCCCAATGTGAATACTGTTGCTTATTTTCTCATTGTTCAGTTTTAGAGTTATTCATATATGTCATACTATAGTCATTCAGGTGAGTGTTTTGCTTTTTTTTTTTTTCTTTTTAATTTGCAGTATAGGAGAGTGAATCCAGAGCATTACCACTGAGGCACATGTGCAGCTCTTTTTCATTTTTTTACTTTGAGACAGGGTCTCTGTAGATTTCTCAGGCTGTACTTGAACTCTCAACTTTTTGCCACACCCTCTTGCAATGCTGGGGTTACTGCTGTACACCACCACACCTGGTTCTTTTGCCAATATGTTTTGCAGTCAGTGAATCACCTTTCCTTCTCCTGATAATGTCTTTTATAAATAATATTTATAAAATTTTAACGAAGTCCACCTTGCTAGTTATATCTTTCATGGGTTGATTTGGTATTTTATTTAAAACATCACCATACCCTGGGTCATATGGGATTTTTCTTTCTTCTTGGACTTTTATGGCTTTGCACGTACTGTATAAGCCTATGTCTCATTTTGAGGTAATTTTTACAGAGGCTGTAAGCTCTGTATTCACCTGTACTTCTTTGCATGTGGATGAATGTTTGGGCCAGTGCTTCTTCTGCAAAGAGTACCTTAGCTTTACTGTATTGCCTTTGCATCTCTGCCTGAGGTCAGTTGACCGCATCCATGTGTCTCTATTCCTGGGCTCTGCTAGGTAACGTTAGTCCATCTCTGTTCATCACACTGCTCATCACACTGTCTTGACTAGTCTAGCTTTATGGTTCATCCTGAAGCCAGTATGGTTGTCACACTACTGATGGAAAGTGGTTTGGTGATGGTCTACTCACCAAACTGCCTTTTTAGATGACCCCAAAAGAAAACATAATTTTCCTAACAACCAAAATAACTAAAACAATACAAACATAGTATAAAGAGCAGGAACGTTTGAATGGAAAATCAGACCTTGAAATCCATGAAGGATTGTTAAGGCAGGGGCAGTCCAGACAAGGAAAGAGCCTGGGTAGGGACCACGTCTGCACTCACACCACGAGTCCCAGCCACACCCGGGAGCAGAAAGGGAAGATTTTTGCCAGTTAGAATGTGGGAATGGGGATGAGGTTCTGCTTGGTCTTAACAGAAAATCCAAGGTCTTCCCTGCAGAGTTAACTATTGACCTTCTCACTGTGTCCTTCCTGCAGTGCCCTGGACTGCTCACAGCCATGGGTCAGGCCTCCTCCTCCTCCACAGCCTCCAATAGAGAGACTGGCGAGTTAGCCTCCAGCTTTGACAAGTATTTCAAAAATGTCAATGTGACAAGTAAACTGCTGTCAGAGGAGAATCAGGATTTGATTCAATCCTATCTGAGGAAGGGGGATACACAGAAAGCAGCTTCTGTGATCAATGCGGCACTGAAAGACATCGAGAATGCTCCACTGAGCATTGCACTGACTGGGGACAGTGGAGCAGGAAAGTCCACTCTGATCAACGCCCTGCGGGGCATGGGGCATGAAGAGAAAGATTCAGCTGCCACTGGGGCAGTGGAGACCACCATGGAAAGAACCGAATACAAACACCCGAAGTTTCCCAATGTGTCGATATGGGACCTGCCCGGCATTGGGACCACCAATTTTCCTCCCAAAAAATATCTGAGGGAAGTAAAGTTTGCTGAGTATGACTTTTTCCTGATTGTCTCTGCCACCCGCTTCAAAGCCAATGATGCAGAATTGGCCAAAGCCATCACCAAAATGAACAAGAACTTCTATTTTGTGCGAACAAAAATTGATAATGAATTAAATAGTGAAAAAAGAACTAAACCAAGAACCTTCAATAAGGAACAAGTCCTGGGAAAAATCCGAAAAGAATGTGAAACAGAGTTGGAGAAAGCTAAAGTGACTGATGCTCAAATCTTCTTAGTCTCCAGCCTTGATGTGTCTGACTATGACTTCCCTCAGATGGAGACCACGCTTCTGAAGGACCTGCCCGCTCACAAGCGTCACATCTTCATGCTGAGCCTGCCCGCCCTTACAGAAGCTGCCATTGATCAGAAGAGAGATTCCCTGAAGCAGAAGATCTGGCTGGAAGCGCTGAAGGCCGGAGCATCGGCCACTGTCCCCCTCATGGGCCTCTTCAGTGATAGTGAAATAAAGAAAATGGAGGACACCTTGACCCTCTACAGGTCTTCCTTTGGGCTGGATGATGAATCCCTAGAAAAGATGGCAGAGGATTTGCACGTACCCCTGGAGGAGCTCAAGGCAAACCTTCAGTCTCCCCGCTTGATGTTGGCTGAGAGTGGTGAGTCCTTTGGGGAGAAGATGAAACAGATTGTTGAGAAGGTCTTAGCAGTCACTGGGGGCCTCATTGCCACTGGCCTATACTTTGGAAAGA